CATAGATTCAACAAAGTACTGGAGACATTCCTCAGAAAGTCTGGTCCATATTGACATGATGGCATCACACAGTTGCTGCAGATTTGTCGGCTGTATATCTACGATGCAAATCTCCTGTTCCACGACATTCTAAAGGTGCTCTAGTTGATTAAGATCTGGTGACTGTGGAGGCCATTCAAGTTCAGAGAACTCATTGTTGTGTTCAAGAAACCAGTCTGAGATGATTCATGCTTTATGACATGGAGCGTTATCCTGCTGGAAGTACCCATCAGAAGATGGTTCACTGTAGTCATAAAGGGATGGACATGGTCAGCAACAATACTCAGGTAGGCTGTGGTGTTGATGCAATGCTCAATTGGTATTAATGGGTCCAAAGTGTGCCAGGAAAATATCCCCCACACCACTGCACCACACCACCAGCCTGAACCATTGATACAAGGCAGGATGGATCCATACTTTCAGGTTGTTGATACCAAATTCTGACCCTACCATCTGAATGTTGCAGCAGAAATCAAGACTCATCAGACCAGGCAACGTTTTCCAATCTTCTATTGTCCAGTTTTGGTGAGTCTGTGTGAATGGTAGCCTCAGTTTCTTGTTCTTAGCTGAAAGGAGTGGCACCTGGTGTGCTCTTCTGCTGTTGTAGCCCATCCTCCTCATGGTCGGATGTGTTCTGTATTCAGAGATGCTCTTCTGAATACCTCAGTTGTAACGAGTGGCCATTTGAGTTATTTTTGTCATTCTATCAGCTCCAACCAGTCTGGCCATTCTCCTCTGACCTCTGGCATCAACAAGGCATTTGTGCCCACAGAACTGCCGCTAACTGGATGTTTTTTCTTTTTCGGACCATTCTCTGTAAACACTAGAGATGGTTGTGTGAAAATCCCAGTAGATCAGCAGTTTCTGAAATACTCAGACCAACCCACCTGGCACCAACAACCATGCCACGTTCAAAGTCACTTAAATTACCTTTCTTCCCCATTCTGATCCTCGGGTTGAACTGTAGCAGATCGTCTTGGCCATGTCTACATGCCTAAATGTATTGAGTTGCTGCCATGTGATTGGCTGATTCGACAATTGCGTTAATGAGCAGTTGGACAGGTGTACCTACTAAAGTGGCCGGTGAGGGTATATTCTTTTCAAGCTGAAAGTTTGAAAAAAGGCAACCAATATGGGTAAAGATGTACATCCTGTTTATACATTTGTTTACTTCCAGATGAAAATGTAAAGCAATAAAGATTTTATTATGTCATAAAAAATATCAAACCTTACAAGTTTCTCTCTGTTAACATGAACATTCTGGATCATCGAAAGGATGGAATAAAACTTGTGCAAAATGTTTCTGCATGAAATTTAAAGTTTACTAAATTTACTCATCACCAAATATTTCATTAATCAGGTCATTTAGATATTTTGTGTATAAAACAATATTTGTCCAAACGACATTCCAGGTACAAATTTCAACAAAGTCCCAACACACCACTAGGTGGCATAATGTACATGTTACAGACAAACTGAATTACTGAGAGAAGAAGAACATCTTGAACATTCCTAAAAGATTCTACTGGAATAATTTTAACTGATTGTTTACATTTTGCTCTTTCTCTTTATTTATTTTAGCACCAGTCAATGCAGAATAACTATACAGAGCAGATGTTTCCATAGAAAAACACTTAAATGACTTGAAGCTACAGAAACCTCCTAAAGGTCTGCAACAATATCTAGTTCTAGTTTAACAATGGTAAAGCTTATTTAGTCATACCAGTTTATTTTTCCTTTTAACATATAATCATGCAATTGTTTTGTGCTTGGGCCTTTTTTAAACTATGTTTTCCTGGTTGAGTTTATTATTATTTTATTGTAATTATAAAACTTTATTTTTATTATATTTTACCACTTTGAGAAAAGTAGCAAGAGAAAATGTCCTTGTACTTTATTTTTTAAAAAGCTGTGCTGTTTAGTTGTTGTTTTGATGATGATGTGCTTAATGCGTAGCTTAAGGTCAGATATTCAGATATTTATGTTCAGTTCTCTCAGACATCTATTATTTTTTTCACTTTATCCTCTCTGCCTCGTTTTCTTTTTCTTCCAGCCTAATGAAGTAGCCAACACTATGTGCGGGCACAAGGCGCTGGAGAAAGATGTAAGCTTTTTTTCTTTTTCATTATCAGTCATGAATTTTTTCTTCTTTCACATTCAGAGTAAAATAATTCTTAAAGCTGGCAGGTGAAGACACCTGCTTGATAACACAGGAGGTTGGCTCACTGACAACTGGGTATTTTCCATCTTGGACATTTAGAATATTTGTCAGGATTTCTGTATAAATTTGATAAATGCCCAAAGAGCTCATCAAAACAAAGCATGTGTCTGGATAAATATATTACATTGATCACTTTGAGATTAATCATGATCAGCAGAACTGATACCGTTTTTGTAAAAAAAAAAAAAAAGGAAATGATTATGCCTTTAACATTTGAAAACTTTAGAAATGCTTGAAGTTACAAGAGGTTTGTGCTTTTCTTACAGCGGCTGGATATAACAAATGTCATCTATGTGAGAGGCTGCACTGATGCGTTCTTCATCTGGGTGATGGACAACTATAAGAAGATGGCCATCCTGTTGTTGGTTATTTTCCTGCCTCAGGTACCTGAAACACCTGGTGAATCACACATTTTACTCGTAGATATTCACAACTCATTGCTCTTATGGAAGGGTAAAAACTGCCACCAGGGGGAAAGGTTTATGTGAAGCAGGATATGATGAACATGAAGTTTACTGTTTCAGCTGAAGAAATGTTAAATATATCTGCTTAAAGTGCTGTGAATAAATCTTAGTTCACCTTTTTGCTTCAAGGTAACAAGAAGTTCCATGTAGTTCTTTAAAGTTAGCAAAGTTTCTTAATCTTTGTGAAGGTCTTCCAAAAGTTTGTCTTTGAACTTTGGTTTATTCAGCTGCTTGAAACTTGCATATGAATCAGTCAAGCATATAATAGACTCCTAAACTTAAAGTGAACAGTCAAAGTCTTCTACAGATAACAAAAAACTTGGCGAAGAAGCAATTTGAAATTGAGTTTTTCATCACGAGTCCCTTTTTAACATTTTTGAGGCTCTGCAGAACTATCTTTACAAAGAATGAAACTAAAGGCAGCCAGAATCTGACAATGGACTTTAATATGTTTGCTAAGAATTCTTATAAAATAATTAATAGTACATTCTATTTAAAGAAATTAAAATAAGAAATTTCTCGAAGAAAATTATGCTTCCAAGCAAAACCTACAAAAATAAGGGAGGCTCGACACTTTTGCACAGTGATGTTGAGTTTTGTTTGGTGTGAAAGTAAATTCTACATAATAAGCCAAATAAAAGCAAGTCAGCTGATTGATGAAGTCATATCAGTTAAGCATCTTTATAGTGCATATTCAGAGAAAGAAAATGTTTACATGTTGCTTAATGTTGATCAACCCCGTTTGTCAAAAAGTCAAAAACCTACTCAGATGTACATAAAAATAAATAAACGTAGATTTTCTACTTATTTCTACCTATTTTATTACGGAGCTTCTAATTTAGACTGAAAAACCTTCATAAACATGTGATTTTACAAAGTCACATATGTATTTATGTACTGCAGTGTTATTTGCTGTGCAGCTATAACAAACTAAACTAAATGTACTCAGCAGGAACAGTTTAATTTGTTTAAARCCTTTGTGAAAATCAGAAGTGGAACGAAACATTTAACCATATTTAAAATTCTGCGAGTCTACCTGCATGACTAAATGGTAAAAAAATGTAAAAATGTCCTCACCTCTCAGGTACAACTGACAACTCATTCAGCGGCAAAGACATAATAAAAGCCGCTTTAGCAAAAACTGCTGCACATCCTGCTGTATTTTCCTGTTGCATTAGAGGAAGATCGTCTTTCTGATCACATCCAGCCGACAGGGGTGAGCAGACGGGCTACAGAAGCTATTTTCTCTGACATTTCTGTGCTCTTACGTTGTTTTTTTATGGAAATTACACAGTGCATTTGGAATCCAAAAATTTGTGACGGCTATGAATTCATGAATGCTGAGTGGGTTTGACTGTAAGCAGCACGTTGGACGTCACTGAGCTGTTATTAGACCGATCCTAAATTCTTTCTGACAGTAATTCAGCCCACATAATGGAGGCTCCTCATTATTATTTATAAAGTATTTTACATTGTCCGAGCTCCTCAGGTGGTCCACAAAAATAACAATTAATCTGGTCCCTGACGTGTCAATTTGCTTATCTTCATTGTCCTGTTGAGAAATCTGGAGCTGATGCTGAATTACTGCCAATAATCTGATTATATGTTTGTCTCATCCTCAGAAGAAGGTACTAAAACAAACAATAATCTCACCTAAGTTTGAAATCTCAAGACTATCAAGGCATTTTGGTGAGAAATGTGCTGCCTAGTGTTAGAAAGCTTGGTCTCAGGTCATGGGTCTTCCAGCAGGATAAATAACCTAGAACACAGATAAAAACACACAAAAATGGATCAGAACAAAACATTGGAGTGTTCTGAAGAGTCTGCCTGAGCCCTGATTTAAATCCTGTTGAACATCTGTAGAGGGAGCTGAAACCACAAGGCACAAGAGAAGGGCGTCGGCAGTGGGAGGAGTTTGTCAAAGACATCGTTGGTTTGTTTGACTTTTGTGGGAGGATTTTGGTACGAAACACTGATTAGTTGGATTAACTACTTTGAGTGTGATTTAAGAAAGCTGGGGGCAGCTGGGGGTACGTGTAGCTCACTCGAAGCAGTCAGGAAGCACCTATATTATAAAATATAAATATTAATTTTAGTCATAACTCAAGACAGAAAGGTGCTGAACCAAATTTGAATGTTAGACATGTGGAGGGATGTTTAGCAATTTGGCTCAGTCAAAACAGTCCTAACCCACCTGGAAAAGTAAAGCTATTTTTGAATATGAATATTAATATTAATAGCTGTGTTAGTCATAAATCCATACAGGAAGGTGCTGGTCTCACCAAATTTGAGGTCAGTTAATTATGTTTAAATGTACACAATAATTTTTATTTGAGACATTGTTCTGTTTTAAACTATAAAGATAAAGTCAATAAATTATATTCACGTGTTCAGAATAACCTTACCATTACATCATCATTTAAAGGCACAGTGTGTAGAATTTTGTCAATTCTTTTAGCCGAAATTGAGATAATCACTAATGACAATAATAAAAAACATGTCTAATCATTG